TGGCCTTTGTCAAAATCAGCCTCGTGTAAAAACAGTAACAAACAATAGGTCTTCTTTAACAACTGTTTAATTTTTTCTTTTTTGAAATCCTGTTGGGTGATAATTTATTTATTGATTGATGTATGTGATTTTATTTTATTTTTTTCTTCCTGTTGTGTCAAGTGATGGACGGATGGTTCACTTAAACTTTTGAGTTTAGTGACGTCAAGTCACATTTAAATGTTTTTTTTTTTAACAGTTTGAATTCAACTGTTTTGTGAAGTTGTTAAAAAAAAAAAAAAGTGATGGACGGATGACATATTGATATTGGCATGTTCCTGGGACGATTAATTCAAGAGTCCCCACAATCCGTCACGGAAGCAGGTGGACACAGCGAGGCGGAGGCGAAGTGAGGCGCATGATTCAAATTCTTATTAATGTCAGTCAACATCTTGGGCGGCGCCATCGCCATGTGAGGTGAGGACTAGCCCCGCTAAAGACAACTAGTGGGTCCCAATTGAGGGACTCCAGAATGATCCTTTCCCTCTTTATGCCTATGTTTGAGATTGTAAATTGACCCCAAAGCCCAAAGTAACTTAATAATTAAAATTTGAAATTTGAAATTAAAATTTTGAAATTTAAATTTTAAATTAGGTGAAATTTTTTTTTAAAAAATGAAGAGTTATTTTCTTTTATATAATTTATTTGATATAAAAAAAAAGAGATTATAAATTAAATTAAAATGTCAGTTAAGAAAACAACATCAAAATGTGATTGTAAAGTGTTTGGTTTTAATTAATTAAATTAGGTATTTTAAATTACAAATAATAATAATAATTCATTATTAATTATAACTAAATAATTAATTTAAATGTTTTTTAATTTTTAAGATAATATTATAAATATTAATTATTAACTATTAATTATAACTAAAAAGTTAATCCAAATATTCTTAAATATCAAATAGATAAGAAGAGATGCATTTGGAGCTTTAATTACCATGAATAAGTGCCTGTGAATTTGTGGTGAGATTCACAATTTAAACACACATATTTACCTGTTTTGCAAATTTTTTTCATCGATTTAAGAGAAACAAAGGAGGAGGAGTGATAAATTTTTTAATTTATTAAATTGTAATTTTATTATATATATATATATATAAAGGTTACCCCTGCAAATTATTGTGTTGGCCCAAACGAGATCTTGGACTCTTAGTCCAACATCAAAAAATCATTATTGGGCTAGCTTGAATCTCAGAAAGCAAAAATGCAAGTAGATTTTCAGTATGTTTGGAATAAGACTTTTTCACCAATTAAATATACCATTAGTTCCAGGATCCATCAAACAAACAAGCAAACAAAAAGGACCAACATTAGCTGATTGTATTGTATGGTAGACAGTAGAAGTCTCTGTGGCTCTGTCTGAAAAACAATAATTCCAACAGAGAAAACCACCATTTTCTGACCCTGAAATCCTCAGCACACAACTCAGAAACATAATCACAAACCAAAATCACCAAAACACTCAAAAACATTTACATTATAATCATCTAACCCTTGAGCAACACCTTCACAATAGCCACAGCTACATCAGACAGACTATGAACAAGCTTGTTCCTAACCGTCAATGGCGATTTCAATGACCCAGAAAAGTTCTTCTCGCATGCATCAGCCTCCTTGGCAGCGTCAGAAATACCATCAGCAGCAAATGCATACTGCCCTTTGCTCAGCGCCTCTATGGCCTGAGGAAGATTGTACTTGACTACTGGGATGTACAGTTCTGCACAATAGGCTAGAGCTCTCTCCATCTGGGGATCTGAGGCTTGCTTTATTTCAGATTGAATGAAATCCAGTGTGTCTGTTGCATTTGAAAGCACTATGTCAGCCATTGTGGTTGCTAGGCCTTTGATATCCATGGGAATGGTGGTGGGGTTTGATTTTAGAGATGCGAGGCAGAGATCATAGAAGGGTGTTTTCTTGCATATTTGTTCTATTAAATCATCATCACATTGGATTGGAGGTGGAGAAATTGAGAGAAAAAGAAGGAAGAGAAGGAAAATGGTTGGGGAAAGGATTGGAGTTCTCATTTCTCAG